TTCTCCAATTGCCGTTTTTTTACAATAGGTAAAACGACCACGTTTATCTTAGAAATGCGATTCCTATTCTTTCTACCTATAAGTTCTTTAACTTTTTTATATTTCTCTTTAATAATTTATTCTCAAAATTCTTTCTTTTTAAAAAAAATAATAACAAACATATTATATAATTTTAGATGATTTTAATTTATTAAATAATATTATAAATCTTATTTAAATATTAGAATAAATGCATTCAATTCGACTCATTTCAAAATTTGAATAAAATTTGTACAATAAAATTTAAATGATAAACTTAACTAAATGAATTTTTTATTTGATTCGATTTAATCAAAATATTTACCCATAATTTAATATGGTAATAATTAAGTGGGTTCGCGATTATTACCAAACCACAAATTGAAACTTTTCTTATGAAGATAAATTTTTGATTTATTGTAGTCATATCATATCATATTATTTTTATTTTATTTTATATAAAAAATATCAATTTTGATTCGATTTCACACTTTAAAATATATATTAAAATATTTTAATGTGTAATAAATAAGTATATATAGTTATTTTGGGACGAGACGGTGAGTGGTGCGGGTATATTGGAGACATGATTAGCATCGCCATTCAGTGGGAACTATGGATGGTAAACGGGTACAGTTTCGTGGATTTCGCACCGCATCCGCTTCAATTGGAGCGGGGATGGGTATAATTTTAGCGGGTAGTGGGCGGGTGTGGATTTATAAAGTGGTACCCGTCGTGGGTGGTGGGCGGGTAATTGGTTTGAGACATTAGCCGCCCCGCATTCGCCCACCCAACTAAATATCTATTAAATTTTGGACCATAATGAATTTAGGTGTAATTTTAGAGACTAATTTATGAATTTTAATATTGTATAATATATAACATATAATTTGACCAAATATTAAAGATATTTAGTCTTTAATCTGGTCTTTAATTAGGGAAATATTCGGCTCTTTGATTAAACCCATAATCCCACTAACCACGTCACTTTTCATGTTCTTTAGCTCATGCTGCCCATACAAACACAAATTAGCCGTACTATAAGCATTAACATCAAAAGCAGCAGTTTTCATGTTCTTTAGCCCCTCAAAACCCATATTAGGCGCACTATAAGCATTAAGCTCTGCGACTACATGCTCCCTACAATCTGTCTCCATAACATTCGTAAAGCCACTCCTCTGACAAATTGAAGCATGCGCTGCTACCCCATCACGAACTGTTTGGGAACCAACTCCAACATTCCATTAGTTTGTTGTCAGGCGGGTCTAGATGCGTATGTCGCTAGTGGGTAATGGGTGTGGGGATGAATTTGAAAATGTACCCGCGTGGACAGGTGTGGATTTGAAAATTTATACCCATCATGAGTGGTGGGCGGGTGGTGGACTGAAAAATATTAAGTGGGTATGGGAATGAGGGAGGGGTATCCGCACCCGACCCGCCCGTTTGCCATCCCTAGTGGAACCTTGACCGTTAGTTGTTTTGGTTTGTATTTGAGAAACGAATATGACATGCCCATTGCCCTCTAATTTTAGTTCATTTCAAGCAAAGCAATCCCCTTTGTTTCTCTCTAGTCTCCATTTCCTGCTTTTCATAGGATCCGTCAAACTGGCCGCCCAATCCGCTCATCTTCGTTCACATATTCCCTTCCCAATATCCACTTTGGGGTTTGCCCATTTGTTCTCTTCTTTCTGAATTTGGCCCTTTCATCTCCTTCGTTGCTCCATCAATAAAGGTTTTCAGTATAGCAGCAGTTTGATAGGAAGGAAAGAGAATATTGAGGAGCAGGCCACACATCATTCTCTTCGTCAATGTCTTCTTCCTGTGTTTTCACTAATTACCCTCTTATTTGTGCTTTTATTGCCTTTGCTATTTCCCAATCTATCAAGTTCTTCACCTCCTGGTATCCCCAAGTCTCCTGTTGTTTTAGCTTCCATGAATCTTAAATTGTTGTTTTGTTTCTTTAATAATATCCGAGAATCATTTCACTGCATGTTTATTACGTGTATTTTATTAGGATTGTAAATACGCCCGCTCGAACAAATAAGTTTGTGTTTGTGTTGGTTTGTTTATTTTCGAAGATGTTAATGTTCACAGTCGGTTGAGATTAAATTTTTAATATTATGTTCATTTTCTTTCGTTTAGTGGTCGGCAACATGTTCCTTCAATGTAGGCCAACATGTTCGTTTATATAATCAGAAATTATGAAATTATGCCATTAGTCCTTTAGTTCTTTAGACTTTACGGTTTGAACTTCAAAATTCACTCTATGTTTAATTTAGTTACTATCTTCATAAATATTTAAAATATAACAAAAAATATAAAAGTTAAAGGAGAATTGGGTAAACGAATCTATAGACAAGCTTATCGACGAGTTTGTTCGTGAACATAAACGAACTGAACACACTTTTTCTTGTGTTCGTTTGTATATTGAATGAACATAAAATTTTTATTCATACTCATTTATTTAATTTAATAAACAAATATAAACGAACTTATTCAACCAATTTTCGAACCGTTCATCAAATGTTACCTACTTTCAATCAACTTGCTGCCTAGAGCTTTTAATTGGGTAATTACCGTTTTCTTCATTGATGAAATAAAAGGTGCCTTAGATAATAGCTGGTTGATTAGTGATTACAGTTACCAAGTATGTCTAGTGTCGACATTATGTTCTTGAGTCCTGGGGGTCTTTGATTATTCAAGTTGTAATTCTGGTCAGCTCTAGCTTGATTCAATTCCTGTTTTGTAATGATATCATTTTTGAGTTTTAATGCCTTCATTTGAATTATTTTCTTCACCCAATGGCTAGATTTTCGTTACGAGACGGGAAGAAAATCTAAGTACACAACCATTTTGCAGGTACAAGGAAAAGCGATGGGATATCAGCCAACTTGTGGGATCCGGTGGGATGCCTTCGTCCCATTCTTCGACGGTCACTGCTCTTGCTACTGCCATCGGATTCCAAGACGGTTTCGGAGGATCGCTATTTGCAACCGCATCGATCTTAGCATGCATCGTATGATCCTTTGTTTCTTGTTTTATGGTTGCCTTATAAACAACATCGAATGGAAGCCTGGCATGATTCTTAGATATTGCTTTCTTTGTCCCTGCTGTTGCTGATCTTGGTTTCCGCTAAATACCGATTTCTAGTACCTGAGAAAAACGCAACATGGCTAATGAACTTGCAATCAATGAATATGTTTCTCGTGTCACCGACATGGTCTGCTTTGAAGATTGAGTTTTGATGGGATGGATTTGATTTGCAGGTAATGTTTGATGCAACTGGTGTGAGATTACATGCCGGAAGGCAGGCAGAGGTTTGATTCTGAGTAATTGGAAGTTATAGAAGCTTTAGTTATAAACTGCATTCTCTCATTACGAAATGGGATGCACAAGCAATTGGTTTAAACTTGATTTCTTTCATGTATCCATTGACAAATTGCATGTTCTTCAGGTCCTGAATCAAATTGTTTATGAATTGCCTGCTGAACATCCTCTGGCCGAGACCAGGCCGTTACGTGAACTTCTCGGTCACACCCCTCCCCAGGTACGTTTTCGTGGCAGATTACCGGCAACAATTACTCGATCCACACTCTTGTTCTTGAACATCCTTTAGTTTAAGCTTCTCGGATGTTGTAGTCCTGAGCCTTCATGTTTTTCTTCTGAGCAATAGATGTTTCAAATGTAACTAATGGCTACAAAAATCTGGGTTACTTTTTAACTCTGATGTCGATCTACATACGGATTCGATACTGCAATGATCTCCGGTGTTGCTTATGGTAACATCGGGTGCTACGAGCAACTTCATCTGAGATAACCACTTATAATTTTCAACCTTCCATCTAAATTACAGGTTTTTGCTGGTGGAGTGCTTGGTATTATAACATCAGCTGCCGGCTATTTTATTTTCCAGGCAGCCTAGTAAAAGTCGATGCTTCATATTTGCTGATAGATATCGTTCTACAATAGAACTTCGGCTGCCATGGAGTCGGACTGTGACTCGCAGACCTTCGCCCTCGATGGATAGATGTTTGTAAAATCATGTTTTTCACTTTGGAGCTCCAATTCATTTAGTAAGTAGCATAAGTTTTAAATGATTTGTGTGGTGTAATGATGATAGTTTGATACATATTGTTCAATCTGATCAAAATGTAAATTGTTTCCGCTATATGTATATCAGTTCTAAGGTATCTTACTGGAATATCAACTTTTTTGTTTGATTTGGGACCTGTGGTTCAGTCCTAAATGGTAGTTCTTCACCATGTGCTCATCCGGCCAGACTAGAATGGCTCGTTGCTCCGTCGTCTGACAAATTCTCCACCATGACAATGAATCCGTTGATGTTTTTAACTTCTATAACATCCATGTAGTTCTTCGGAGGTGCTAATTTTGCGTTGCTCCCAGGCCGAAATCCGGTAACGGAATCGGCTGGCCAAAACACTCATACCTTGGTAGAACCTTTATATTCTTCAGAAGCCTTAAACGAAGCTTGAACAAGATCATGCTTCAAGGTGGTACATAGTGAATATAAATCATATTACACCATAAAAATTAGATATGAGTAAAACTCGATTTGACTCGAATTCAACTTATAATTTCATAAATTGACTCATTTCGAAAAAAAAAAATTAAATTTGAATCAGTTATAACATAGAAATCGAATAACTCAAAATTTTTAATAATTGATGGATTTCTTTTCAAATTTGAATCGAGCCCCTCAACTTTGATACGTATATCACATATAAAAAATATGAAATAATAAAAATAAAAATTCATTTAAATTGAAATCAAATAGTATCATAATTTTATAAATATTTATAATTAAATTTAATCAGAAACTCGAATTGACTCGACTTAAAATATTTAAAATAAAATTTGAGTTATAAAATATGGCTCGTGAACTTGAATAACTCAATTTCTTTTTGCTCAACTCAATTGAATGCTCAACCTTAATAACAGCGTATCAAGCAAAAGGAAGAACAATGATCACCAATGAACTGAAACCAAAATATATGCCTTCAAAGAGTTTGCAGTGGCTGAAGATAAACAGGAGGATTCTCAGGGCAATGGGTACATTAATTTACCGTATTTGAAACCATCGGGTCGAGACCAAGAGTTGCAGGAACTGCCATTGCTGCTCTGGAGTTCTTAACTCTAAGAGCTGTATCGAAAGCGGCAATCCGACAAGATAATAAACATGGAAGTCAATGATTAAAGAACGTACTAATAAAAATGAATAAGAACAGAACCCATCAAGTGATCTTGAAAGGAAATGTTGATTTCTTCATGTATGAATTCGAGAAATAAATTTTATAGGATTCGTATGTTTTATCAATAATTTTAAAAAACGTACAAATATATATTATTTTATAACCACCACACATCGTTAAAGAAGATGAAATTGCATAATCCATTCCTGTATTCATTCGTGCATAATCCATGATGAAATCCTATAAATGGTTTCTCCCACCAAGTTGCATCCTTCAAAGAAATTGATACCAAAGATTGTTTATTATACATTTTGTTTGGGAATATTTTTCTAAACGAATTTTTCTAAAATGTTTTTCTAAATGAGTAATTCCAATGTAAAAATATTATTAGATTCAGTTGAGTGTAGTATACAAGTTTTCTTATTTTTCCTACTGTTTTCCCAGGCTTCCAGCTTTGGGTGATTTTGGACTGGCTTTCTTGCCTCCATTGGTGATAATTCATTAACATTGCCATTGGTGATAATTCATTAACATTGCATTTATTTTTGTTTGTATTAATTACTGATATTTTCCTTTCAGGTATAACAGATTGCGCAAGAAATTTCCAGCAACATCATTCACTGGAACGGCTGTTCTCTCTGATGCAGGATTTGACTTGTTGAATAAACTTCTTACTTATGACCCTGAGAAGGTAAATAGTTTGGCTTGCATAACATGTTGGTTACTATATCATTGTTCTGGTGGATGATTTATTGTGCCTGTGGTATCACTTTCAGCGTATTACAGCTGAAGCTGCTCTTAACCATGAATGGTTTCGTGAAGTTCCTCTTCCCAAGACTAAAGCTTTCATGCCCACTTTCCCTGCTCATCATGCTCAAGACAGGTATTAAGCCGCATAAACAAGATAAAATCCCAAGTGCTACTATATTTTAGTAATTTTTTTCAGTTATTATTAAAGTTGAATAAGGGATTTATTATCATGCTTAGGCGTATGAGAAGAATGCTGAAGAGTCCAGATCCTTTGGAAGAGCAACGTAGAAAGGAGTTGCAAGGGGAATTGGGGACTGGTGGTGTGTTTGGCTGAGAGAAAGTTCATCCATTACTACCATTTGATGTTCATGTTTTAGTTTTTTACGTTATTGTTAGATGTCTACGATTGAGGTGAGAGACGCATTCAACGGAATAGTCATGACCTGGCTGGAGATAAGTGTTTGCCACTTCATGTGAACCTGGTGTTTGCAGATTAATTTGTTTTCCAGCATTGATCTTCATATAGAAATGCATCTGACATAGCTGGTATCGCAAGGTCTGGCACATCAGCCTCTTTTCTTTTAGAAATCAGTTTCAGCTGAAACTTGTGTAACAATTATTTATTGGAGCAATGATGTGGACTCCCGTCTTACTTCGTTTTGAGTATTAAATAATATGGATTTCTTCCAACTTAGTTCCATGTTTTAATAATGATACTGTGTTTGCAAGAGGCGGTTGGTGTGGAGGGGACGTTCTTCGCTTTTCATTGACGAAGAAATTGGTAGTAGCCATTATACAAAAAGGTAATTTATTAATCCAGTATCTCTGGAATTTCTTTATGGGGCTAGGTATATTTGTCCATCCATGAGGAGTTTCCTCTGCAGTATCAAAAATAGTTGCTACTTACCAATATTTTTGGTTTTTATTTTTCTTATTTTCATGTTGGGTGGTTACTTATAACTTTATTGGGGATGCAGTGGAAAGTTACCATGATATAAAATTGCTGCTAGTACAACATTTATGTATATGGTTTTTTAGGACAGTTTTTTCTTGAGTTGAAAGAGAATTTTAATAGCTAAGATGTTGCAAAATTTTCCTCTTCCCTATGGATTTGTTCAAGATTTGTTAGTTTGTGTTTGTGTTTGTGTTTGCATTCATATGGAGAAAGGGTATACAAACCTATTTATTGTTGTCAACTAAAGAAATTGGCTTCTGAACTGTTTTTCAGAAGTTATGTTCATTATTTCTCTGTGGAGCTTGTACTTTTTCATGAAATTTTTTTTGATCTGTTTTGGTGCTTAAGTTGGTCTTTTGTAAGTACTTGAAGCAGTGAGGTTAAGCAGTGACATTGGGTCCATGAGGTCAGGAGATTGGTTAATTTTTAATCTTAGTAGCCATATCTTGTACTTGCTATCTACTCCCTCTTTTTACTTCAATAATTTAGTGTACCCGTTGAGTGCAAGTTATTCAGCAGTTAACTCATCTCCTAATTCCTAAGATATTGAAGTCAATGTTTAATTTGCTATGTCCATATTTATCATGTTTCAATTATGGTCTGAGGTTCAAAGCTGTAATTAGCCCTGAATATTTTATGACATGTCTGCGATTGTCACTGCAGTCTCAATGCTAGCAAGTTGAGGAGGTTACCTTCATATTGTGGATTTTATGTAAGTTCCAGTTGTTTCTTCAGGCTCAGTAGAGGTACCATACAAACTTTGGGCTGTTATAATATCGTAGAATAGCTTTTTCACATCAATAATATTTCTATCTTCTATTAACTTGTTGACAGTAATATCTCTATCATTTCTCATATACTAGGGTTTTTCATCGTTTAATGATATCAGTGTGATGTATTTCATTCTATGTAACTGGGTAATGAATTGCACTGAATAAGTGAATCAAAGAAGGAATCCTGTAATTTTTCATTTAAGATGCATGTGATTCTATGTGAATTATAATGAAGTACTACATTTATATCAATGAATCAAGAAAGAATTCTGTGTTTTGTCCTCAACAGTATGTCTAAACTTATGGAACAGTAAGGGTAAAGTTATGTTCGACTTATGTTATCTCACCTCCCATGCTCTATATCATATTCACATGTAGTTGGATTTGATTTGATCGATCTTCATTGCATGGAATAATCTGATGTGGCTACCATGGTTGTAAATACAAGTGTTTTCTTTTTTGTGCATGAATGATTTACGTGATAGCTTCTAGTATGGAATTTGAATGGCAAATCAGTGCATAAAGAAGAGATTTTTTGTCTCCGCATACAGACATAGACTGATATACATACTATCTAAAACATTCCACCGAAATATGAATGTGATTTATGACTGAGCAATAGTGATTGATGACAACTTATAGGGCAAATGGTATTATGGTGGCTCTGAAATTATAATTGTAGGTTGCTTTTGGGTTATGGAATTCTTTCAAAATTATATTTGCCCTGACCTTTTTTCCTTCCTTTTCCCTTTAGTATCAATGTCCAAACACATGTTCGGGTGTGATATGGGTAATGATGACCCTTTAAGCCGGACCAAATACATGGAATTTTTTTAATATAAAAAATGAATACACCTGTCGGACGCATTCATATCTTTAACATTTGCATCTGAGTTCAAATAACGTAGCTTGGAGCATTGATAGTATGTTATGCCCATAGTTTTGGGACTGCATACTGCTAGAAATGCATGTGTATTAGTAATTTAATCCAGTCAATTCCTAGCAAGATTTTTGCATATTTTGGACCTTGGTTCACTACATTTTCACTTGAACCTTGATATAAGTTTATGAATGTTACTAAGGGCATTTGCGCAATTGTTAGCCTTTTTGGCTAAGTCCTATCCTGATATCGAAGTCCTTGCTCATGTAGCTGGCTTTCTTTGTTATCCCATCAAAACATGTTTGGAAAGCAGTTTAGAAAATTTAGGTCTATATCTTGTTGTCTGGGTTATTGAATGTATACATAGGTTTTTGCAGTTAATTTGTCTGTGGTATTCTTCTAGTTGCATTTTTGTCTACTGTTCTCTTTAGATCTTGCAGAGCGCACATCTATTATTGTTTCAGCCAAACAAACAAGCAGTAGTAGTTGGTAGAAAAAGGCACAAAGCTCTGTAAAAGCAAGGGGGAGAAGAACGATTATTATGGAGTATGGAAAATCGTCCCGTGTTAGGGACTGAAGACTCTGCATCCTCAACAAGGATCAACTGTTGAACATTGACAGTGAATGTCGGGGAAAACAGGGTCAAAACACAAATTATAATTCGATAATACCTCGAAATTGAGAATGAAACTCTGTCGAAGCTCGATATACTTGTTTCCACGAAGACTATGGTTTGGCCAAGCGCATGTTTGTCCAGAGAAGGCTCAATGAAAGAGATTTGATTACACTGTTTTGAACCTTGAAGAGCATGCTAATGCATCTAACGTGAGCACTATGAGTTGTTGTTGCCGTACAATCAAAGGGTACTCATACCAACAACCTAAACGCCTATACGACACCAAGAAATCTCCAAGTCCAACTTCTTTTAATCAGGTTTTCCAATGCATAGTTTCAGTAAGCTTAAAATATTCGGTTTTAAACGTAATAGTAATCTATTTTATGTTGATGATACGGTAACTTTTTGAGTTTATTGTTTTTAATTTTTAGCTTAATGCAAAAATAAGTGTTCAATTTATGCCTTAGAAAATGTTTGTGTTTAGTAAAAATAAGTGTCTAATGTTTCTAATGTTATAGTTTTAGGTGTTCGAACGTTAATCGTCATTAAAAATCTCTATTAAGTGACATGTGTCATGTTCGTGTAATTTTAAAAATTTATTTAAAAATAAAAACATTTTTTTATTGAAAAACCCAAACAACACTTGTGCTCCCTCTCCTCCCCTCTTCTTTTCTCTCTTTCATAGCCGTCGGTTAGCCAGCGGTAACCGCCATCGTCACTGGTATCGGTGTCGACCTCTAATCAAACTCCTGTTGACCTTTCTTCTTGATCTTCCACTGTGTATTGTAGAGAAGCGTTTAAATGTTTGTTGAACTTTAAGCCATCGTTGCCATTCTTTGTCGATTTCGGTTGATTCTGACGTCTATAATCCACACTGCCGCTACCATTTGAACCATTGTACAATTTCGATCAAAATCCAATCGTTTGACGATGACGTTGATAGCCGGAGATGACAAGTGACAGTTGGTAATGAAATTGAAATGAGAAATTTTAATTTTTTAGGGTTTTTTTTATAATTTTAGTAATTTTTTTTATAATTTTTTTTAAAATAATATTTTTATTATTAAAAATTAAAATATATAACTGAAAAAACGTTAGACACTTATTTTTAGCAAGAAAAAAAATTTAGGCACCAAAATGTTTTTCGAGACATAATTTAGACACTTATTTTTATATTAAGCTTTAATTTTTCTATGGCATCTTTTTTAAATTATTTTTTAAGGATTTCTTACAAATATTTTTTGAATTTTTTGAATTTTGAATTTTTAAAAAAAATAATATAACAAGTTTCTAAAACATATAAAAAAATAAAATATACAATTTCTCATTGAACTTTACTATCTTATTTTATTCATTATACTTTTAATTTTTTTAATTTACTCACTGACCTTTTGAATATTTTTGTTTTGATCATTTTGAATTATTTTAATATTATTTTTGAATGATATGAATTTTTTTTATTATTTAATATAAAAATAATTTAAAATATAAAATAAAAACAGAAGGTGTTTGTTCACTATTTGTGGTGTTGCATGTCATTGTCATCATTGTAAATGGTGATTGTTTGGTCCTAAATTTCATGGATCAATTCACCTCGACCCCCTAAGTCTGAATTTGGTGGTTATTTCATTAAAAAATGTCTCAAAACTTGTAAATCTTGATTGAAATATTTTGGTTCTCATTTTCGATTTTCAACTTATGGACTTCAAAACGAGTTTAAAGAAAATGAGGTGGGATTTGAACCCATGGTGTTGAAATGAAATGACTCATAAATTTTGGGACTGAATGACCATCATCTACAATGGTCGACGATGATGTCTAGCATTGGTGAATATTGAATAGTAGAAGACTATCTTTTTATATTTTAAATTATTTTTATATTAATAATAAAAGAAATATAATGTCATACAATAATAATAAAATAATTCAGAATGATCGAAACAAGAACAATTCGAACATTGAATGAGTAAATTAAAAAAAAATATAATGAGTAAAATAGGAGAGAGTAAAGATCAACGAGGAATGATGTAATTTTAAAAAAAAAATCTTACGCAGCATAGGTGAAATAGGAAAGATTAATCAGAATCAAGTGTGAAATAGAAATGGAGCAACATAATAAATCCATGCCGAAGAGAAGTGGAATAAAACTATAAGTGTTTATTTTTTTTCTTAATTAATCTATATGATCAAGTACACGAGTTTGCAGAAACTTTCAACAACAATTGATTGGAAAAACCAAATGATTACTTAAGAACATTCCCTTGCTGCCTGGATTTTACTTTCCTTGGTTACCTCTTCTAAATGACCCAATCCTCCACCACTTCATGGAAGAAGGAAGAGACTTAGGCTCAAATATATGCTAAATCTTAAATCAGAGAACAAGAAAATAATCTTCACATGTGTCTCAAAATCTGATTGTTTTACCTTAATTTTCTGACATCGAGTTTGTCAAGTTTCTCTAAAATCGGCATCACCCATTGACGCTCTACGGTACACACATTCCTCATATATGGCCGTGAGGTAGCAATAAGTTCATGGTAGACAACATAATTTGGATATAATCCGTCGTCATCTGGCTTTAGCACAGAGGAAGGATGGACCTAACATCAACAATAATTGCTTTAGTTACATTTTGAACAACAATATACTTGAACGATCAAGAATCAGCAATGGTTCCAAACTTTCAATCTCAATGCTCTTTTGCTTATATATATAAGACACCCCTGATAAATATTCAAAATTTCTTTGGTATCAATGTATGTCTTCAAACCCGATTTTAAACCAAGGAAATGTAGCCATCAAATTAAATAATGTTCTCATATACAATAAAACTACCACAAGATTAAATTATTAAAATTTGATACCTGCACTAGTTGCGGCTTAAAACCCAGGGTTCGAAAGCCATTATGATGCCTCATACTCTCAGCAAGCTGATTAGCATAGCCAATGGACAATGCCTTCCTCAAATTCCTATAACACTGATCACTTTTCTGGCTTTGATTTGATCGCACTTCCGATGACCCTGTTTTCAGATGAATAGATCGTTACTGCAATAAAAAAAATTCAAGGTAGAAGTAAAATGGCAATGACAGGAAGACTGGGTCAACACCTGCAAGATTTGCATTTCACTATTTCGAAACCTACAGATCATTCTAGTTTACACTGCCATGGGAAACGCAGGTGATGTACAGGGATTTTTCAATAATGTTTATCTACTCTGGTTAAGAAGTTAAGGACTTATCTTTTTCTTTGACTCTTCATTTTTCTTTAAGTGTCATTTCTGACACCTATGTCCAATGCCACATCAAAACATGGGTATTATAGATATAACCCCCAAAACCCTCAAATATAAGGAAAGTTTTGGAAAAAAATGCACATACCCCCGTCGGGCACAACAGAATAAACGCTACACAAGTTTCATAGAAGGCTATTATGCTGCAACACTACTATTTCAAGCATGAATCTTTTTTTTAGGAACCAGGCCTAAGGCTGTACAGTGGCAAAGACAACAAACACGTGTACTTCTGGTTGAATATGTGAGATAGATATGAAAGTAAAGCCAAGTCAAATTAACAAACGCAAAATCTCCAGAAATCACTACTGACCCTTGGCTATCTTCTGCATTATCTGACACAACTGCTTTCGAACTTCTTTGACAAACATCATTCCTCGCACCTAAAAACAAAAAGTCTCAAATGTGTTATTCATGATCATCTTTAACACGAGAATAGTATCAAAGACATTTCATCAATAATGTATCGAGGTCAAGGGCACTACTGCTCATCATAGAAAGATCCATCTGAAAGTAGAATGACATGGTATGCACACACATCAAGTACTTGAGGCAAATTTTTATTGTTGTTACAAGAAAAGCATTAAACAATCAAAATAACATGTCTAATATCTTACGATTTCCAAATGCATGTTTTCTAAATTGGAAGATAAGAAGCATACCTCTAAGTCATAATCCTTGCACCAATCAATATTGTGATCATTTTCATCCCAGCATTCATAGATCTGTAAGAGTTGGATGTGATCTCCAAAACCAGAACCATCAGGAAGTTCCAAGGGTGGGATCTTCCTTTTATTTTCGTCATTCTTGCTGCAGTTAGAGAAAAATTATATATTATAATCTACCATTAAGCATTCAGAAATGAGAACGTCTTTGCAAATATGGAAAAACAGACTTCAATTCCATTGATGGAATTTGGATATCATTAAGCCCCAACTACTCATCTCCAATATATCAGATCTCTCAAAAATCAAATAAAGGAATAATTTTATTTTCCTTCTGCTAATCAAATGCATCTTGGAGAGAACTTGAAGAGGATATTAAACCAAACACATAAAAGTCCTATAACGTTCTGGTTTTGCCACATAAGGTACTAACATCAGCATGCTGTAGCTGAAAATTACAATTTGCACAGTTTACAGTCCAACTAGTTGCTTCACTTGCTTGTCATTTAAATATAACAGGAAAAGTTATAGTCGGAGTCCTTATAATGGACAATCTCAGAACGATTTCCATGACACAACCTTTGACCGGGAAGCAAATTGGTTTCAACCGATAGCATGGCTGCAACAGTCAGAGCCTGGTATAAACAACCAAATTCATTTGCCTCAATTAAAGTTCTTGAAAGTGAAGGTTCCAATGGCAGCTCTGCAGAAAAATACAAAGTTGTGCAGTGAGCAATGAGCACATCTGCAAAATAAAGCAGTTTCCAAGAAAAAAAAAGTACTGATAAAAGTATTTTAAGCATATTAGTAGCTATGATAAACGCCACAAAGAATAGCAACTTATCAAAACAAATAGTAATTACAGGTAAGTAAAATTCATTAGCATTGTTTTAGACAGTAGCTCAGGCTTGCCAATTTTAGACATGAGTTAACAAAGAATCAATGAAGGTGGCCATTCTGAGTTTGGTTTCATGAAAAGAGTTTGCAATTGATCACCAGGAAATTGACTGCATCCAAATTCATATCTTCCAAGGTCATTCAAGGTAAATATAATTCCTTAGCATTGTAATATATTGTAACTCATGCTTTCTGGTTCTAGACATGCTTTCTTCTTAGCAAGGTTTAGGCTTGCTTCATGGTTTTTAGCAAAGTATAAACAGGTTTCTATCTCCAAGGATTCTCTTATTTCTGATCCTTCCTTAGGGGATTCTGTTTCTTTCTACTCTAACCCGATTATATCTAAGTTCCCTTGGTCTCCTCCTCCCAAGGGCTTTATCAAATTAAATGTTGATGCTGCTACTATCAGTGATTGGAAGAGAAGTGGGTTAGGAGGTGTTTTAAAAGATGTTTCTGGTTCGATCCTAGGCTCTTTTAAGGAGTCTACTGGTCCGGGGCCTCCTTCCTTGATGGAATTAAGAGCTATTCAAAATGGCTTATCTTTCTTTGTCTCTTTTCGCCAGTTGATTAAGGATCATTTGATTATTGAGAGTGACAACAGGGTGGCAGTTGACTGGGTTAAGGATGTCGAATTATGTCCTGTTGTTTATGCTTATATTGTTAAAGATATTATTGAAAATCTTAGAGTTTTTGAAGGGGTTATTAGATGGGTTAACAGGACAGCTAATCTAGAGGCAGATGCCCTAGCTAAGGCTGGAATTGGTTGATTTTTGTGTTGTTCTTTAGGGATGTTATTTTTCTGGTATTCTTTTCCTTAAGGGAGCTTTACGGTGTTGTATTCCTATGTACTTAATGAAATCCTAAGGCAATCTTTTCCTCCTTCCGCTGATTAAGGAACTGTTTACGACCTCCATTAATCATGAAGGCGGATTTTACTGAGGCCTTCTATTCTTATAAAAAAAAGAAGGTGACCATTTTGGGTTTAGTTTCATAAAAACGGTTCGTAATTGATCAGCAGGAAGTTGATTCATATCTTCCAAGGTCTCAGTTTCAGGTGGTTGCAAATCCATAGTTATCATAAACTTGACTGGGGCAAAAAAAAAATACTAGCAACAGCTACCAAATTATGCATGCATTTATCAACTGACGGGAACTGGTTAGCATGATAATACTTGGAAATCAAGTTGAACCCTTACCAGCCATTGTTCGCCCAATACTTGTTATCGATCCATTTTCATCAATGGCATCAATCAGATACAGTTGCTTTAAAGCATCTTCTAATGACTCAGCTGCAGTTAAACCAAAGATTCAATATCTCAATTCTGTAAGGAAACATTGCCACAAACAATACAATACAGATTTTGGCAGTGGCAGAAAGGAAAGTTTGAACAGTGATAACTCAAATGCTGGTTCTTTCATTATGCCCTAACGACAAATGAACACAATAAGAATCCATTCTTACTAGAAGGGGGATCAAGAAAATCAAACTTCAGAATATCGATATCAGGGAAATCCAATGATTTTAGATAAAGAACACTGCCAGCGAGAGAAGATCGCTGTATTTCAGGAACAGTTCCATCAAGGAATTCATCATTGTAAACACTGGATGGGTATAAACGGTAGCACTTCCCAGGGCGTGTTCTTCCAGCTAATCCAGCACGTTGATTAGCTTGTACCCTAAGAGAATACAAAAAAAAAATGATTTAAAAGTAAAAAAGTAAAAAATTTATGGATGAACTACAGAGTTGGTCATTTTTATTTTATTTTTTTAATTACTGAAACATTTATTTATGCTAATTTTGATGTGATACGTTAGTGAAAGCGTTTAATTTTCACTTTAATCCCTGAATTTTATATAAAATACTAATTAAAGATCATTTTATAAATTCAAACTAATTTAGGCACAAAGTTTCAATTTGGCCTTTTTTTAAATGCTATCTTTCCCAACCCCATCTTCTTGCGCCGCACACTTCCATTGCTTTCCACCAAGCTTCGGTCGCCAGCAGCAACGCTCCTAACTTTCCACCCATCAGATGAAAGCTGGAAGAACATAACAACTCGAATCCTGGCCTCGGATTCTGCTTTCACTTCCTCATACTTAACATCCAATCTACTCCCAGCAAGCTCCCTGCTTGAAACTGGCGCAACCCGACTGATTAAGAAAAGCTCTAAACTTTGGATGTTCAAGACTCGAAAATTGAACCGACTCACAACACTCATAAATCCAATCAGCTAACAAATCAACTGCACACTCAATCTGGGATTTGTTTAATGTTGGCCCAGGTGATGTTTTGGGAGTTTTTAGCTTCTTTACACTATTTTCCAACATAGCCAAAGCAGCTAAATCCTCTCTACCTCCAGATAAAACCAAATGAGTTGATTTTGTGGCGCCAAACTTCCATCACTAGCCGTCACAACTGTCCCAGGCGACGGCGAGTAAGCTATCTCCCCAAATGATCTTGAAGGATCAACAATAGCCAACGGAGTAGCCTGATAAGAGCAACCCGGACCAGAACCGGATGCCACAAGGACCTGGTCAGTGGCAGTTACCGTGACCGAAAAAGAACGTTGTTTTCTATCACTAGCGGTTCCAGCTACTACCGTTGTCGGAGATGGAGAAACAAGAAACGGGTTTAGCAAAAGCGTTAAAGTTGGGACATGTTCCCCTCTTTAGATTTTCTGAAGCTGTTCGTGAATGATTAGACGCTGAGAAAACACCGTCACACAAAGAGCATCAGCGTTTTACAACTTTGGGGAGTCCGGTATCGACGTTACGAACGAGCATGGGTTCGAAATGTGGCCAATACTTTGAACGAGCAAGTGGGGAAGCTAGGGGAAGAAGATAGCTTATTAAAAAAAAGGTAAATTATAACTTTCTTTCCTAAATTAGTTTGAATTTATAAAATGGTCCTTCATTACTATTTTATCTAAAATTCAGGGGTTAAAATGAAAATTAAATCATTTCACTAACGTGTCACGCTATCAAACTAACGAAAGTAAACGTTTTAGTGATCACATCTTAATTAAAATAAAACGAAAATAACTACGAATTGATTTTTTTAATCGAGTGATCATACAATTTAAAAAAATGAAACAAAAGTGACCTACTATGTAGGTTACCTAAATATTATTTGCAAGAATACTAACAACCGATCACTCAAGTGACAAAAGAAAGATAAGAACATAAATTTGTTCAGAGCAAGATAGGGGTAAAATCATGCAAGGAAAATTGAACTAGCAAACAAATAAAGACCAAAATGAATCACAACTGTAAGTTATGCTAATAAGAACACATGAAGGAAAATTAAGTCATCCACTTACTTGCTAATTTGAACAACATCGAGAGAGTACATTCCAGTTGCTGGGTTGTATTGATGTAGCTTCACGTAACCAGAATCAATAACATACCTAAAAATATACTGAATTAATTTAGAGAGAATCAATCAACATATCATTGCTATTGATCTTATTAACGGAGACCAAGCGCAAAAGCAGGTGGCAGAAATAGATATACATTACAATTGATCACAATAATATAGTTACCATTGGACCATATACAAGTCTTAACATTCAGTAGAAATAACACCCTGAATTTTTCCCAAACTAAAAACCCTAAATTTTGGCGGAAATTGTTCAAATTCCTAATTTGGACCTAAGAATTAAATTAGAATTTTTTAAGGAAGTTTGGTTACCTTTTGCAAATAAAATAAAGTGTTTGGTTTTTAATAAACCCTAATGAGTCCAAAGATTTAGTTGATGATTTACTCACTGTTCTTTTAATCACAATTCTAAGTTTGGTTTTAAAACCCACGAGCGGCGTTGCTCCTTTTGCCTCTTCTTTGTTTTCTTTCTCTCGTTACTGCTCCCATCTCCTCGCCGCCGTCATTCGGTGGAGTAGATAAGGTCATCGCTTTTAGTTGGTTGGTTGTGAAGCCGCCTTTGCTTGACCGTTGGGTGTCGTCGTTTCACTCTCAAGCGAGAGCTTCGGTTGCTCCAGCGAGTTTTGTAATCGGATGGGGGTTGTTTAGGTCGTTCTTGGTTCGCCATCGTCGGGGCTAGTTGGTGGGAGGTCGAATCGACCGGATCCCGGATCGGAATAACACTACGAACGACTTTGAACGCACTGTCGCTTCTTCCCAGCTGATGCCCTCACTGTCGCCAGTCGTGGCTGCTGCCGCTGGTTTCCTCGCCGACCGATTGTGAGGATGGCTGTTAGGTAGTCTTAAAACCTTAAACCGACAACCCTCATATTCGAACCAGAGCCTACTGCCCGATTATCGTATCGAACCAGAAATAATTACAACGAAGTTTAATTGTTTTGTTAATTGAAAAAAACGTTGAGTTGAGAATTAAGTCTAATGATGAATTTTTGCAGGAGACTTTAACTCGAAATCGGAATTTCTGCCGCCTCCGTCTCCTTTACCCATGAATTTCTAACCGACTCGAGTTACTGTGTCGACAGTTCTGATTCGAATCGATCTACTGCTCGAGCTGACCGTAGTAGAGGTCATTACCGTCGTTAACTATCTGTTGAGGTATCTTTGCTGGTACTATATTAAATTTTGTGTTTACTTGTTTGTTTGGTATGCGCTGTTGAATTGTGAGATTAACTATTCTGTGAAATTGGTTGAAACTGTTTACATTGAATTTGGATAAACGTAATGTGTTGTATGTTGATACGTTGAATTCGGAATATATGTTGTGCATTCGGAGTATATGTGTTATTTGGATCGGATTGGATTCCGTATATGGCATATCATATTGGGACGATTTTTGATAGGGGAAGTTTAGTGCATTGACTCGACCGGGTGAATGTCATTTTTTCGGATTCAGTAACCTCTATTTATGTGGCGGACTCCAGTCATATAGTCTGTGGGTTTGAATTAGTGTGGTTTTGGAGAACCCACTCTTCTGGGTGAGATTGGAGTATGGGTGGGTGTATGAGTATTTGCATATCATTTGAATTGTGATTATCGTTGATGTTTTGACATATGAATATTATTTCTTATTTCAGATTATGTTATTACTTGTGTTTGAATGCATTTTAGATACACACTAAGCCTTGTAGTTTACTCTCCCTTAGTTTTCTTCTTTTAGATTCTCGAGTTAGTCGAATTGATACTTAGAGTTGCGTCTTTATTTAGATTTTTACTATTTCACAGTATGATACCTATTCGGATTATCTATTTATTACTTTTTAATTATACTATTTGTAATTATTTTATTTTACTTGTATTTGGGATTTTGGACAATATTAATTATTTTGAATCTGATTTTCTTTGACTTTTATTTAATAATATTTATTAGTGTTGGAATTATAAATATTTTGTAGCATTAAATGTTTGTTTTAAAACTTTAGAATAAAAAAGGGTTTCGTAAGGGACAAGTTTTAAATTGGCTTTTTAGATTCAACCTAATTTCTTTTTAGTTTGTATTTAGAGGTTACATTTAGTGATATCAGAATCAGGTTCAACTCTCGGATTATGGAGCTCGTTCACAAATTTTTGATCAAAAACGATTCTTATATTCATATAAATATTTTCGAGTAAAAATAGAAATTTTTAGAATAAAATTATTATTTTTACTTATTTTTATTTTGAAATGGTAAATAAATGTTTTGATCTGTAACTCCAAGTGTCAACTTTGACCTTAAGATTCTATCATTTATAGATAGTTAACTATGTCACCCCCTATTAGTTCTCGATTTGCGGTCGGTTAATGTCAAGGTCAGTTTAGACACCTATCAGAGGGAGATGACAAGTTAGATTGTGGTTTAGCTAATATGGATAGACCAACTCAAAGTAGAGGTTCAACTAGATTGATAAAGAAACAACCTGAACCGATATATGCCACACGAAGGCATAATGATCAAGATAAGTCCGACGTTATTTCTTTACTTCATCCTAATTTCCATCCCGATAAATTTCGAGGTCAAAATTTTCTTTAAGGAGTGGAAAATTGTAATACCTTGAATTTTCCCCAAATTAAAAACCCTAGTATTTGGGGGAAATTGTTCAAATCCCTAATTTGGACCTAAGAATTAAATTGGAATTTTTAAGGAATTTTGGTGACCTTTTTGCAAAGAAAATAAAGTTTTTGGTCTTTTCATAACCCTAATGAGTGCAAGGATTTAGTTGATGATTTACTCACTTTTCTTTTAATCACAACTAAATTTGGTTTTAAAACCCACGAGTGGCGTTTGCTCCTTTTGCCTCTTCTTTGTTTTCTTTCTCTTGTTACTGTTATCTTCTCGTCGCCGTCGTTCGCTGGAGTAGGTAACGTCATCGCTTTTAGCTGGTTGGTTGTGACGCCACCTTTGCTCGGCTTTGGGCGTCGTCGTTTCACTCTCAAGCGAGAGCTTCGGTTGCTCCAGCGAGTTTTGTAATCGGGTGTGGGTTGTTTCGGTCGTTCTTGGTTCGCCATCGTCGGGGCTCGTTGGTGGGAGGTCGAATCGATCGGATCCCAGAGCGGGATAACACTATGAACGACTTTGGAATGCACTATCGCTTCTCCCCCGCTGCTGCCCTCACTGTCGCCAGTCGTGGCTGTTCCACTGGTTTCCTCGCCGACCGATTGTGAGGATGGCTGTTAGGTAGTCTTAAAACCTTAAATCGACAACCCTCATATTCGAACCAGAGCCTACTGCCCGGTTATCTCGTATCGAACCAGAAATGATTACAACGAAGTTTAATTGTTTTGTTAATTGATAAAAAAACGTTGAGTTGAGAATTCAGTCGAATGATGAATTTTTACAGGAGACTTTGACTCTAAATCGAAATTACTGCCGCCTTCGCCTCCTTTACCCGTGAACTTCGAACCGACTCGGGTTGCCCGTGTCTAACATTCTTGTTCGGATTGATCCACTGCTCGAGATGACTGTGGTTGAAGTTATTAACGTCGCTAGCTCTGTTGAGGTGTGTCTCCTTCGGTGCTATATTATATTCTGTGTTTACTTGTGAGATTTACTGTTATGTGAAATTGGTTGAAATTGTTTGCATTAAATTCGGATAAATGTTACATGTATGTTGATATGTCGAATTCGGAGTCGGAATTTCTGATTATTATGATTTGTCAGACATAAATTATGGTATGTGTAACGTGTTATTTATCGAATTCAAATTATATTGTGTCCGGACTCAAGGATTATGTAATTGCATTCTCATTCGGATTAAATTGGAATTAGGGTATATGATATTCGAGTATGTGTTATTGGGATATGTGTTATTTGGATCGGACCGGATTCATGATATGTGTGCCATTTGCATATCATATTGGGACAAATTTTGATATGGGAAGTTCAGTGTATTCATTCGACAGGGTGAATGTCACTTTTTTTGGATTCAGTGACCTCTGTCTATGTGGCAGACCCCACTCATGGTGTGTGGATTGGAATTAGTGCGGTTCTGGAGAACCCAATCTTCTGGGTGAGATTGGAGTACGAGTGGGTGCATGAGCATTTGCATATCATTTGAATTGTGATTACCGTTGATATTTTGATATATGAATATTATTTCTTGTTTCGGACTATGCTATTACTTGTGTTTGAATGCACTTTAGAGACAAACTAAGTCTTATAGCTTACTCCTCTTAGTTTTCATCTTTCAGATTCTCGAGCTAGTCGAACCAATACGTGGAGTTGTCTTTATTCAAATTTTTACTATTCTCACATTATGATATCTATTCAAAATATCTATTTATTACTTTAATTATACTATTTGGAATTATTTTATTTTACTTGTAATTGGGACTAGGAAAATATTAATTAATTTGGACCTGATTTTCTTTGGACTTTTATTTAATAATATTTAGTAGTGTTGGAACTATAAATGTTTTCAAGCATTAAATGATTGTTTTAGAACTTTAGAATAAAAAATGGTTTGGTGAGGGACAAGTTTTAAATTGGCTTTCTAAATTCGATCTATTTCCCTTTTAGATCGGATTTAGGGGTTACAGTAGAACCATTAAGACCAAATATTAGTGACTTCATCTGGGTAGAAAATTGTAAAATTAAGAAACAAAAAGGAAAATGAGTAAAGGATAGTAAACCAAACTAGAACATTGATATTTCAATAAAATAATTATGAAACATTCTACCATTGATGTATTTGATCATTTATATAATTAAATATATAATAAAAAGGCGGAAAGGCCTTCCTCTAGGTATTAAGAATAGCCTTGTCTCAGCCATGTCTCTATTTTACATAAGTTTTTGGACATGGAGACCAAGGACTTCACTGCTGCTTGGTTTATATTTTACCATTTACTTTAAACCTACATAGTCATGACACAATAATTTCTTTGCTAAGAGCATAAATATTTGCATGATCTTGGCAAATTAAGTAAGAAAATGCTGGTTCATAAAGACAAAAATTAAGTATCAAATTCACTTACACAACACCGTCAACGGTCAAAGAAGTTTCAGCTATGTTTGTGGCAACAATAAAACGCCTACAGTTTGGAGGGGGTGAACTGAATACACGCCTGTTGGGTCATTGCAAACAAAATGTGTCAGCCAAAAAATCATGTCAGCACAACAATGTGAGAAACAAGAAAATCTGAGACAAAAGTATACTGCATTTCTTGTGGCAATGAACCATGGAGAGGAAGGATTAATGCATCCATGCAGGAGCCTTCCTCGAGACTTTGAACTTTATCCTCCAGCTTTGACACCAACGTCTCTATATCATCCTATAAATAGCCACTCAGCTTTAAAAGAATCAGTTATAATCATATCATTGAATCAATGTATAACCAAGAAAAAGATACAAGTCAAATCCACATCAAATTCCACCCCGAAGTAAGAAATAAGAGAAACAGAAAGCTTGCCTGTCCAGCATGAATATTAGGATGTCACCCTCTGGTTCCCGAACATGTATATCTGCCAAATCATTACACAGTAAGATCTCATAACATCAAATATGATTTCCAGGAAATGTCAGAAACCCAAACTTCCAGTATGAATCAAGGTTAGCGTACAGCTGATTTCATTGTGGCTCACACCTCGCATATGTAATCATCGACTGGGGTGCACCAATAATACTATTAATCAATAAATTCTTAGTGGATGTCAGAAGGGATACCAGTCATCATAAAAGGAATCAGAAAAACTTGGTTGTTCTTTATACATTACTATGTAACTAGAGCAGACCTTGGTGCAAAAGGCAAACGCATTGCAGGCCAACTAAACAACAAGAAATGTCCAGCATATATGCATAATAAAAGCTTGCAACAACAGAATGTGTATCAAAAGATAAACTCACAACATACCCAGAGCTGTTTTTAGGGAAGGCTCGAGATAGCTTGTAGGACGCTCCTTGCTGTATAATATTTCCACAGGAAATAATTTTCCAGGGACAATCAACAAGGGGCAATCTGAAAAGAACTTCGAGACTTTTTCACCATTCACAAGGGTTGCTGATGTTATCAGCACTTTAAAATTGGAGGTGCGTCTTTTAACTAAACGTTTCATCAACCCCAGCAGAATATCCCTGAGAAATTAAAGATTCTGTAACTACAGCATATATCCAACGAAAAAAATATAATCAAATATAGATAAAAGAAACAGCATATAAGGTGAACTTTACGTTGTGCAAACTCCTTTCATGAGCCTCGTCCAAAATAATAACAGAATACTGATTCAGTTCTGGATTTGACAGGCTCTCTCGAAGAAGCAATCCATCAGTAAGTATCTATGCATTTTGTTTACATGAAACCTTAGTTAAATAATCAATAAACTTGGCATTACAACAACGGCAGAAATAAACTGCAACTGAAAATTAGACTGATAAGCTAAATGCATTACTTGATTTGTGTTCTTTCGGAAGTTCTATCTTCAAACCGAATAGCGTAGCCTACTTCTTCCCCAAGCCTAACATCAAGCTCCTGCGCAACTCGTCTACGCGCGTAAATAGTTAGAATGAAAGGATTTATTCAATTCCTTCAACGACAAAAGCCTTATTGTCAGCAAAAAATTACATGTTCTGAATTCCTAAAGCATTATAGTTAGTTTGCTTTGGACAGTACCTCGAAATGGAGACGGCAGCCATACGGCGGGGCTGAGTGACAGCGATGACACCGGAATCTGTGTACCCTTTGCGGTAGAGCATCTGAGAGAGCTGAGTGCTCTTTCCCGAACCGGTCTCACCTATCACCACCACCACTTGATCTGCTCCACCGTTTCTAAAATCTTCTCCTCGAAACTCTCTAAATAATACCTGGTTTTGATCATCGGACCAATCAATTTTTATTTGGATAAACTATGTTGGTTTTGATCATCGAACCAATCAATTTTATATTTGGATAATGTTTGGTTTCGTCACCGGGAGTGGAACCAATATTTTGTTTTACAGTACCTTTTTTCAATTTGTATTAACGAGATTTTAGTGATTAAAAAATATTATTTTTAAAGATTTTCAGTTTGATCAGTTACATTTAAACTAAAATTAGTTGTGAAAGTTCTCAATAAATTATTTTATAATATATCTCTCTCTAATTTTAAAATAATTTAATATTATTTCATAATTTTTTTTATAAATGGTCAATTTCATCTTCATCATACAGTTGTAATATTCGGTATCTGAATGTTCTGAAGGCTTGGGCATGTAACTCGGGTAGTTCTGCGGTGCGCGCCTAAAAAACGGTTAATTACGGTGTGACCGGTTAAATAAGTGACTGGTTAAAATTTAGATCGTTATATTATATTATTTAACCGGAAATATTATCAAGTACAACATATTATGTAACGCTTATATAATGTAATAGATAGCGCTTTATAATAAAAATTTAACAGGAAAATATTACAAGTACAATAACATATTAGATAGCGCTATATAATGTAATAGGTAGCGCTTATATTGACCTATTTTATAAGTAAATCAGTATATTTATACCGTAACATTGCAAATTTACCTATTACATTATATATCGGTTTCGATATTTCATAAAGTGTCGAAACTTTTTATAAAAGTATCGACACTTTATGCTTGCACCTCGTTGGGCATTAATATTTCTTCTGGACAAAAATATCGACACAAACTAAAAAAGTATCGATACATGATTTAGACCTATTCTCTCATAAACCGGTAATTATACCGTTTCATTGACCATTACCTATTACATTATACTTATGGGTTTCGATGTTTTAGGGATCGATATTTTTATAAATGTATCGACACTTTTTAAGGGTACACCTTTTTTTTGCATTCATTCTAGACCGTAAGTATCGACACTTTATGCTTGCACCTCGTTGGTTTTAATATTTCATTCTGGACAAAATATCGACACAAACTAAAAAAGTGTCGATACATTATTTAGACCTATTCTCTCATAAAACCGGTATAATTATACCGGTTTCATTGAACATTATACTTAGGGGTTTCGATGTTTTAGGGATCATACTTTTTTAATAAATGTATCGACACTTTAAGGGTACACCTTTTTTGGCATTCATTCTGGATCGTAAGTATCGACCAACTTAACAAGTCGATACTATATACTGACCTATTTTAGCATAAAATCGATATATTTATATCGGTTACATTGTAAATTTACCTATACATTATAATTATTGGTTTCGATGTTTCGGGATCGATACTTTTAATAAGTGTCGATAATTTATGTTGAGATAATATATTATGCGTGCACCTCGTTTGGGTCGATACTTGTTACATTGTTAATTTACTTATTACATTATAATTATTGGTTTTGATGTTTTTGGGTCGTACTTGTATTGTACATACCTAAATAATGTACTGCAAATTTAATATTGTACCCACCCTTTAACTACCACTACCAATACCACATCCTATTGAAAGCAGCACGACTGAAACATGTTCAAAATGAACCTTTGCTTACATCTCCATCAACTCCTGACCACTGAACTTGCACAACAAAATTTTTGCCATGGATAATACTGATGTAGACAATGTTAAACCAACCGAGGAATGCCATGAAGTACATAATGTTGATAAATATGACAGATTGGTTGGTCAGCTCTTCTGTTCACGTGATCAAGCTTGGTACTTTTACAAGGGATTCGCACGAGAACATGGGTTTAGTGCACGTAAGGGAACAACACGGCTTGACGTGGAAGGGAATGTGAAGACACAAGAATTTTGTTGTTCCAAAGAAGGGTTTTCGAGTATCAAAAGTCAATACTGTTGATCGTCAACGTGCTCATACGCCAGTCACAAGAACAGGATGTAAGGCTAGAGTCGTAGTTACAGCAACAAATACAAACGATCAGTGGGTTATAAGTAAGTCTGATCAGAAACATAATCATGCATTGTGCACACCTGCTATGACACCATTTATGCGTTCTAATAGAGCTGTAAGTAAGGCTGATATCGATGAGGCAACAACATTGAAAGAGGTCGGTGTTGGCACGTCACAAGTAATGAACTATTTAACGCAGCAGGGGGCTATCATAATGTTGGATTTACACATAAAGACCTCTACAATGCACTTCAAAGAGGTAAAGCAAAGGAAATCGTCGATGGGGATGTGAATGCGCTTATTGCCTACTTTGATTATAAGAAACATGATGATCCCGGGTTTTTATGACATACTCGGTAGACGAATCGGGGGCATTGTATAATCTTATTTGGTCGGATTCTACATCGAGATCGGATTACACATGCTTTGGTGATGTAATTGCGTTCGACACAACGTACAAAGATAATTTGTATGGTCGACCAATTATGCCTATTATTGGTGTCAATCATCACCATAACACAATTGTGTTTGCCACTGCCATAATCGCTGACGAGACGTCTCAATCTTTCGAGTGGTGCTACAGAATTTTTAGAAGCCATGATGAATAAATCACCTATTTCAGTTGTTACCGATGGGGATAGGGCAATGCAGAGGGCTATCAAATCTGTTATCCCTTATGCTAAGCACAGATTATGTTCTTGGCATCTTTCTCGCAATGCACAAGCTAACATTGATGACCCAAAGTTTACAGCAGCATTCTCAAAATGTATGGCTTCCTGGTGGACAACCGAGGAATTTGATATTCAATGGCGTTCAGTTGTTTCAGAATTCAACGTCCAAAAGCATCCATGGGTGATTGAGAAGGGAAATACACGACACTTATGGGCACACGCATATCTAACCGGTCATTTCTTTGCCAATATTCGCTCAACACAAAGGTGCGAGTCTATGAATGCTTCACTAGCTTGCACTGAAACACAAGAAGATATATTTAGATGTTGTTCGTGCAATTGAAGATGGAATTAGTAGAATGCGTATGAACGAGTTGAAAGCGGATTACTTAAGTTCCCATACGAAGCCCTTCCAGATCACAAAACTGGTCGACCTTGAAAGCCATGCCGCTGCGATTTTTACCCGTGAATCTTTTCGTGTGTTCCAAGATGAACTTATACGGGAGACATTGTACCGGATTGAGGCAGAGATTAAGTCCTTATCAGATGAATGCCAACATTATATTTTTTCAAAGTACGCAGAAAAAAATAGGAAATTTGAAATTAGTTTTGATTCTCGTACGAAAACTCTAATTTGCTCCTGCAAAAATTCGAGACCGTTGGACTTCCGTGTCGCATCAACTTCACATTTTGAAGCACTTGGACTACACATATTTGCCCGGGACTTTGATTCAAAGTAGGTGGACTAATGATGTGAAGGCTTCTGCACCAGTTATTGATTTGAATGTGTCTCCAGAAGTGATGCAAATGGCAAGGTTTGCTGCTCTACGTTCAACGTCAAGTAGGTTATGCTACATTGCATCAAAGACAGATGAGTCTTTCAAAACCGCAAGAGATGAGATGAAAAAACTAATAGAAGAATTAGAAAACTCATTTGGTTTGAATGATTCAGTCAACCAGAGCATTGTAGTAAACAACGTTCGTGACCCTCAACGAAAACAACGCAAGCGAAAAGAAGTGCCGAAGAACAAGGTCGAGAAGAAAATTAGGCGATGTGGGTACTGCAACGGTGAGGGACATAACAAACTAACATGTCCTCAAGTCAAGCTCAGTTTGAGTACAAGCACACAGCCTACATCAACTGATTTTTCGAAGACGGAATGGAATGACAACGATCTCCATATATCGTAAGTATCAACATGACTCCTATTGTGATAAGAAACATGTACATAAATATTTTGAATGAAGGAAGAAAAACCGCGTTACTTAAAATTAGCGACACAATATTAAAAAGTGTCGATATAGGTTGTAGACCTATTCGCTCATAAAACCGGTATATTTATACCGGTTATATTACAAAATTATCTATTACATTATAATTCTGGGTTCCGATGTATAAATGTCGACACTTTTTGACAAGGTATCGACACATTTTTCTTCCATTCTGGACATAAAGTACCGACACAATATTAAAAAGTGTCGATATAGGTTGTAGACCTATTCGCTCATAAAATCGGTATATTTATACCGGTTAGATTGAAAAATTACCTATTACATTATACTTATGGGTTTCGATGTTTATGGGATCGACACTTTTTATATATGGATCGACACTTTATTGTTGCACCCTATTTGCCATTCATTCTGGACCAAAAATATCGACACAAACTACAAAAGTGTCGACACATTATTTAGACCTATTCTCTCATAAAACCGGTATACTTGTACCGGTTAGATTGAAAAATTACCTATTACATTATACATATGGGTTTCGATGTTTATGGGATCGACACTTTTTATATATGGATCGACACTTTATTGTTGCACCCTGTTTGCCATTCATTCTGGACAAAAAATATCGACACAAACTACAAAAGTGTCGATACATTATTTAGACCTATTCTCTCATAAAACTGATATACTTGTACCGGTTAGATTGAAAAATTACCTATTACATTATACTTATGGGTTTCGATGTTTATCGGATCGTCACTTTTTATATATGGATCGACACTTTATTGTTGCACCCTGTTTGCCATTCATTCTGGACCAAAAATATCGACACAATCTACAAAAGTGTCGATACATTATTTAGACCTATTCTCTCATAAAACCAGTATACTTGTACCGATTAGACTGAAAAATTACCTATTACATTATACTTTTGGGTTTCGATGTTTATCGGATCGACACTTTTATATATGGGTCGACACTTTATTGTTACACCATGTTTGCCATTCATTCTGGACCAAAAATATCGACACAAACTACAAAAGTGTCGATACATTATTTAGACCTATTCT